AGACCCTATATAGATGGAAAGAGGGAGTAGTTGCTTTGCACCTATTTTAATATGTGACATTATATTTGAAAAAATGTAGGCAAAAAAAAGAGAGATCGTCTGCAATAAAATAACCCCTCTTATCTGGTTTGTAAGGCACCATAAAATAGCCCCCCGAACACGAGAAAAACGTGGAGGGCTTTGCTGAAATCCGGACACGCGAAACGTTGCTCTCTGCCCTCCCGGCCCACCCAAAAGGAAGGCGGAGCCCGTGCTTTTGTACCATCCCGCACTATTTTCGTGCCAAAATTCCCCACTCTCGTCTTCCATCCCCCGCCGCTCTCCGTCCAATTCCCGCTCTTTTTTCTCACCCTCGCCTTCCTTCCGCCACCGACGCATGGAACCATCGAAGAACATGTCGGGGATGGAACCGACGAAGGTGCCAGAGGATCCGAACATCACGCTCGCCCGGAAGACCAGCTCGGCGACGCGGCAAACTCGTCGCGTCAAATTGAAGGCCGCAAAGGAGGAGAAGCTCAAGAAGTGGTTGGTTGTTGGTGGGCCTGGTGGTGTCGATGGAGGTGGAGGTCATGGCGGACGAGGCAGTCGGCACGACCGTGGCGAACACCACCAGACGGGCGCGTACACAGTACAGACGGCGTCGTGGCCGGAGCCTTACAAGCCTCCGTACTACTACGTCGCCAAGCAGCTCAGAACCCCCGCCTGTACGGTGCCTTATATCGTCGTCGTTAACTCAACGTCGCTCTTCTCCGAGTATTCTTCGTCGTAGCTCATTCGAGCACGGACGGCGTCTGGGAAGCAGATGGGTGCCCTCACGTTGTTCGCTGCAATGCCTAGAGCGGAGGAGCCATCGTACAACACGGACAGGGAGATGCTCGACATCATCCACGACAGAGGCGAGGGAGGAGGAGTGGGCTATGAGGACGGGCAGGTGGAAGACTCGGATCTCACCCAGTCTGGCAACTACCAGTAGCATCAGTCCTACACCCAAACGACCACGCAACAGTCCTACACCCAGACCAGCGATGGCACACAACGAAAATAGCAGAATTGGGTCGCCCAAGAGCAGCAGCTGGAGGGGAAGGAGGTGGAGGAGGACGACAACGACGATGATCCGGATGATACAGTCGACAATCCGAAGAAGAGGAGAAAGCTTCAACATGCGAAAGGACAAGCTATTGTGCGATAGCTTGGCCACTAGCACTGATCTAATCCATGTCACGGAGCAAAATGGCACAACCTTTTTGAGGAACATTCACATGTAGTTTCATGAACACAAGCATTTCGCGCCCTACTTCGACGCGTTCATCGGCAACCGTGAATGAAAGTCCCTTAACCATCGATGATACACCATCTAAGAGATCGTGTCCAAATATTGTGGGCACCTGAAGCATCTCATCTCACGGTGGCCTAGCGGTGCACAAATCATCGAGGAAGTAAGTTTATCACTAGCCTGATATGCTTTAGTTTTGTTGATCACTAGCCGGACATGTATTGTTTTGTTGCTCACTAGACGAATATGAATTGTCGACAATGTTTCTCTTTGTAGCCTCCTCACCATCATGCATTGTTGGTTGAAATTGAATGGGCAACCGAAGTAGAACCTTTTCATTGCCAAGACCGCCGCCCAAGCCAACGAGGAAGAAACCGGTGACCTTACCGACCCAACCCAAGAACGCCAAAGAAGATTAGAAGAAATTTATGGGGGAAGAAGTGGGAGGAGGAGAGGCGAAGCGAGAAGGTGCGGCGGCCAAGCTGATGGAGAGATTCGAGGACATCTTGGCGAAGAAGGACGAGGTATGCGTGAGGCACTCAGACATCAAGGAGGAGAAGAAGGTGGGGAGGTTCAAACTATGGAGGCGACGGACAAGAAGTTCAAGCTCGAAGAGAGGAGGACCATGATCGAAAAGAGGAAGGCCGCGCTCGAGGAAGAGAAGTTGAAGATCACCGCTAATGCGGAGGACGCCAAAATGTTGACCTTGAATATGGACTCTCTAAATGCCGGCGCATGAATCATCGTGCAATCCGTCTGCTACTAGATGTTGCAGTGGCAGAAAAATCAGTTGGCGGCCGCGGAGAATGAGGACGTGGCAAAGGCGTACGCGGACACGAGCGCAGAGGCAGAGGCTACCTACGCAGCGGCGATGGCACCTCCTTGATCGGTGAGCAGACGGCTGGGATTGCCGGTCCGGCAGGACAGAAATGCACGGACTGCTGGACTGATGTTCTTTCGAATTCGGCATGTAAAAGCTAAGCATATTTGTCTATTTTTGGTTGTGATTCGACATGCGATCCAGCGCTGGTGTGGTCTGACGGACTAGGTGGATCGCAGTACATTTAATTTTAAATTTACTAACAGACATATACATGATTACATTGGATGGAGGCTTCCCACATTCGTGTCCATAGACTGGTCCTGCCGCAAAGGGATGCAAGAGAAAATTGCGGGTTGCCTTGGAGATGAACAGGGAAGGGTGTGACCGTCTTTTCTCTCTCTCTACTGTACTGGATGTGTTCTTTAATTTTAGCACGCGTTTTCTGAAGTGCTGTATCATCCGAGTGTTTTCCTAGATAACGCGTTTTTTGTCGTGGTCCCTGTCCGTCTCCGGATGCAGGGGATCAGAATGCTGTCTCTCTGTCAGTTGCCAATCAGGGTCTCAAGACTCTCAACAAGCATGCGTTCAGTTTAGCTGCCTCAACCTTGTGCGTCCGACAGAGCCAACATGCTCCAACAAACCAGTCACTTGGACGATGTTTCGGTGTTTTAAGGCACCTACCTTTGTGTCTATAACATGTGGGTCAAATAAGTGGCTGGCCCACATGTCAGTGACCCAAAGGCAGGTGTCTTTAAGGCACCGAAGCTGCGTTCCAGTCACTTAGGCTGCGTTCGGCAACCATCCAGTCCTCGATCATGGAGCGGAGCGGACGGAGCATCGTTTCAGCCACTTCATAAATTACAACTGGCTGACGCTCCGCTTCGGAACGGAGTTACAGAGCCGGAGGAAATCCGAACAGGCCTTTAGTCAACCTTCAAAGTCATGCCAACTCCTCCCAGCAACATCAACGAAATTGCACTGCACCGCACATTCTATCCATCATCCTACAGTCGTTGCAACCCTCAAAGTCGCCGGTACCGCAGCCGGTCACGGAGGTGCTCGCGGTCTGACTTCCCGCAGTCAGCCCCCTTCATCACCGGCGGCCCTTCCTCTCCCCTGAGCCACGGTGAGGGCTCTCGTGGTTGACGACAAGACTACAGTGATAGTGACAGTCACGAAGCCCCTCAAGGCGGGTACTTGTTGGCGCTGCTCCGCCCCCTGCGACCTTGGACCCTCGTCCCTCCGGTGTTCATGGTTGTCGGCGTCCTCTGTCGGGTGGCTCCGGCCTTGGCGACCCAACAACTGTGTTCCTTCCAGCTCGCGTGGCTCCTCTACGCCCCGACGGTTATGGCCACGACAGCTAGGATCTACGTCTCTCTAGTCCTACCTGCCGGCGTTGCTATTCGCCGTCGCCCAACCCCCTCGTGGTTTGCTTCGCTGCTTGCCCTACCTTGTATGCCTCAAAACCTCACATTTTACCAGATCCAATGCTCGTGGGTTCGGAGGAGGTGCCACCCTTCGACGGCAGATGCAACCCCGCCAACCCCCTTTCGACATGGTGGCTCCGACCGACGTTGGCTTTCTCATCTTCGTTTCCGGAGATGGTGGCTATGGGATTGCTCAGCCTCAGGCTAGGGAGAAATCCCTGCTTGGCTTGCCGATTCTGGCAATGACAACGTCTGTGGATGTCGTTTTCTTCTTGGAGGCGATGTCAAGGCCCGCGATTGCGCCCCTCTTCGAGCTCAGGGGAACCCTAGGTCTGGTTCCTTCGGGCCGGATCGCGACAGCGTCTCGGCGTTTTCTTGCTCGCTCGCGGTGTCCCTTATTTTGGTTCTAGAGATGTTGGTGCTCTTGTTGGTTCAGCTTTGCCGCCCTTGGGTCGGGCATGGCAGGTCTAGCTGTGTTGTATCCTCCATTCGGGCCGAGCATCCCTTGTCTTTCTGCTTCGGGCATCATGTTCATGCCTATCTGCGTTCGTGTCATGTGTTGCACCCTTATTTGTAGTTATAATATTTCTTCTGTCAATGCAATGGTACGCAAGCTTTGTGTGTTGGTGAAATGCTTCAGCGAGCGATTCAAATATTCCGATGCCGGCCGTTCTGTCAGTAACCAGATATCATGTCATTGCAAGAGTAGTGCGATTGTTTTGAATGTTGGCATGAGAGCTACTACCAAATCCTTTGATTACAAAAGGGGCAATGGTGAAGACAGAGAAGGGTGTGACTGTCTGTCTGTCTGTTTCTCTCTCGGTTGTTGTACTCAACGTGTTGTTTAACTTTGCCACGGACGCGCTTTCTGAACGTGTTCTTTGCCGTTACAGCGACGCAAGCATTACATAACTGTTAGAGGTGAAGATGGACAACGCGTTTTTTGTCCTTGTCTCTGTAGTAAGTACTCTAGAATGCTGGCCTCTCCTCTCTGTCATTCCCAATCATGGCCTCAACAACCCCCCCGCGTTCAGTTTAGGTTTAGCTGCCTCCACCTTGTGCGTCCGAGGTCCGACAGAGCCAACATGCCCCCAACAAACCAGTCGCTGGTCAACTCTCAAAGTCATGGCAACTCCTCCTCCTAGCAACATCAACCAAATTAATTACAGTGCACATTCTATCAAGCATCCACATGAATCAGCACAGAGCAAGCAACAAGTTTGATTAATGATCATGACATTGGCATCGAATCTACTCCGTACCAAGCACGTACAGCAACAGCAACCTCTAAATCTAATCGACCACCAACAAATGAAAAATCCCACGTTTCCCATGTGAAAGAGGAGCAGAATTGATGCTTGTTCTGCACCAGCACTAGCGACGAACCCAGCACCCGTCGACAACACACTACATTTTTACAGCACGAAACGAAATCCAAGGAAATTAGCTGGTGGCAAGCAAAGCAATGGGCTGCCGGCTAGCAGCCGGAGATCTTGGCCCGGAGGATGGTGCACTTGGACTTCTGGAAGGAGGTGGCGGCCACGTCCGGGTCCACCAGCTGCAGGCTCACCGGGCAGATGACGGCCAGCGGGCACTTGGTCTTGCGCCCCTTGTACTGCATCACCGTGTCCAGCCGCACCTCCACCTCGAACCTGCCGGCCTCCTTCTGCCTGGCGAACTCCGCCGCGCCGGCGGGCGGCAGCTTCGGCAGCGCCCGGTCGACGCCGCCCACCTTGAGGCGCAGCGTGGTCTCCTTCCGGGCGCCGAGGTCGAAGGCCGCCACGGTGCCGGACTCGTCGAAGCGGGTGCCGTTGAAGGAGAAGGCCACGGCCACTAGCCCGTAGCTGATGGCGTAGTGCAGGTTGGGGTTGCGCATCGACACAAACGCCGTCGCGTTGTAGGACAGCAGCTGGAGCGGCGACTTGGCGGTGGTGGAGTTGGGCGACGGGGCGAGGTCGAAGCGCGTGAGCAGGGCGTCCTCGGACATGGCCGTCGGCGGCTTGATGACGGCGAAGGCGAGGATGAGGACGACGAGGACGCCCCCGAGCACGAGCAGGATCGCCGCCCAGATGGCGATCTTGGTCCAGTTCCACTCTTCGTACTCCCAGAAGGTGCCCATGGCTTGCCTCGCCTGGCTGGTGGTCGGATGGGGACGGGGAGAGAAGCGTGGAGCTGGAGCGCGAAGTCCGGCGAGGAGGGGGAGGGGCCGGTGACCAGAAGAGAGGCTGGAGCCGGAGACTTATGGCGAGCGGGTCCTGTGGCTGTGGCCAATGGGCATCCAGATTCCAGACGAGAGCAGACAAAGACCAAGACCAAGGCCAGTGGGGTCGTATAAACAAAGGGTGAAAATAGAAAGTTACCGTTGGTCACCATCTCAGATGGTAGCTGCTTCGGCCAGTTGGTAGTGCTGGAGCATTCGTGTTTTATGCTCACTTTTTTTTTCCGTGATTGTTATTTGAAATTGACCGAAAATGGTTCGTGCGTCAGTCAATTCTGCGAATGACACGGTTGGCCGCGGCATCACCGGAGAGGAAATTTTCTTTTCCCCAATTTTTTTTAATCTATTCATCAACTTTTATGATAGTACAAAGAACATCGGCGAGAATAATCCTACAAAGGATCGAGCCCTGGAATGAGCCAGAGATAGGACGACATTGTTGGCGCTAGACAAGAGAGGGTTTAGAGCGATGGCCGGTGCGGTCACGAAATGGACGAAAACGCGCTCGGGCATGGTGGGGCGCCATCAACGTCGGCCACGGTTGCCGATGACTCTAAAATGCATCTTGTTTTACCGAAGTTTTCTCCTTGCTTTGCATTTGATTTTTTTTGTTGGTTTTCGTTCTTAACTGCTCATTATATTATGAAATTGGAGAATCTTGATCGTTCACAAATTGACTGCATGGAAAACCAATACCGGAATCGTGAAGAAGAAGAGGAGACCAACAACTTTACGGTTTATTTCATCGAAACCAAGATTTCAATGGAAACCAACACCGAGATTGCACATTTGAGGAGTTGCGCCAGTGTGTCTTCGAGGGAAAGCCGTGCGTCTTTGCCATTCCTTCTTGCTTCAGGGTCATCCCACTGGGCTGAACAAGCACTACACTAAGAGTATCTCCAACAGACGCCCTAAACGACGTGCGCGCGGTAAACCAGCTTTTAGCGCGTGCAGGGCGGTTTGCCGCGCTTCAGCGGCCGCGGAAAACAAGCGCGCGCCGGAACCGTTTGCGCGCGCGCGAAAAGGCGCCAGCTCGCGCGCAAGATTTGGCACGCCGCTTCGCGCGCGCCTATAAAGCTGCGCGCCGCTTCGCCACGCGCTTCTCCACACTTCCTCTTCCCCTCTTCCTCTCCCTCTCTGCCACGCGCCGCTCCAGCGCCCCGCCACCGCCGCGCCGCCATGCCGCCGCGCCGCTGAGGAGCGTCCGGCTACCGCGGCGTCCGCCTGCGCCCCAACGGCTGCTACACCGCGG